ATGTGATGTGAGTGTGGGGGGTGGAGGGAGGGGGGGGTGAGGAAACATATAGCTTCAGGGTGCAAGGCTGCGGGGTCACGGGTGCTGTGCAACGGGGGTATGTTTTCTGTCCATAACAACCCAACCCCCATGCACAACACAACATGAAGACACACAGGAGGCAACAAAAAGCGGAACACATGTTCTCTTCCATGTGATCATACACCGAGTTTCGTACATTACTGTGAGGCGTTCAAATCACTTGACTTATCCCAGAGACGCCACAGGCTAGTGTGCACCCAAAATGGAAATGTGCGCACACATACAGTAAACTTGGTACAGTGAACTTCTGTTTAAGAAGGGGTTCGCGAAACACTCTCCTCACCTCTTCGGAGTTTTTGTGTACTTTCTGTAACACCCCGAAGATGCCACGAGGCTTCTTAAAAAATTGGACGTTAGTGTCAAGTTGTAACTTTTTTTTTTTTTGTTTAGCCTGGGTTGTTAGTGGAAGTTACGGGGAGAGTTTTGTTGCAAACGTCGTTTTTTTTTTTCTCTGCCGAGTGTCTATTAAAAAGCAAAATCAAGTCCTCTGTAAGCAGTTTATTTTGTGGGTGAAGTTGTGAGTTTGAAATAATATGAATGTGGGATGTTGCATAATGTGGGATTCATGTACATTTCGGACTTCATTTTAAGATTCTTGAAATGGTCTCGCCCCACCTTACCTGCCCGGTGTCTCAGGTCTGAGGATCAGTCGCTACTGGAGATACCAACGACTAAGTGGAGCCTCAGAGCGGATCAATCCATCGCCAGTTTCTCCCTTTGGAATGACCTATTAAACTTTAGGCAAGCCCCTTCACTGTCCATCTTTAAAACTTGTCTTAGAACACATTTTTATACTTTGGCTGTCGACTCAGCATCGTTTCAGTGTTTTCTGTTTTATTAATTTTTTTTGCTTCAACCGTCTTATAAAGTTGAGTTGAGTTCAGCCTCACAGTCCAGAGATAAACACTAGCTTAGCCTATTGCAGCATAATTCTACTCCGCCACCTCCACTGGGCTTCAGCAACTCTGAACCTCCTGAATAATAATTGACCACTTACGTCAGTCGTAGATACACCAGAACCTTGTTTAGCATGTCTTGTTTTGACTGATACGTTCATTGTGGCGTAGTTTTCACAGTGTCCCGCAGTCCTACGTTGAAGCGGAAAACCAAACACAGTCAAACCTAATCTAATTAAATTCTTGCCTCCGTAAACGGCTCCCTGACACTCTTATAGGCATCGTTCGATCGGATGCTCATTTTAAAAGTAAGTAAAACAGTTGCAACCTTGCAGCTCTTTTCTTTGAGCTCCTTTCTGACGAAGCACCCCAAAATAAACAAATAAATGAAATAAAATCTTACTGCATCCCTGCAAACCCCGCCCGCGCCCACTTAGCCTACTACCTGAATGCAAAGCGGCCTAATGCGAGGGGACATGTTTATTAAGCTGGGCCTAGTTTGGGGCAGCAGTGAATATTGCAGACGTCAAAGTAGGCCATGTGGAGCTGGAGGAGGGAGAGAAAGGAGAGCGCGAGAGAGAGTATGTGAAAGAGCGGCCCCTCTGGAAGCTGATCTGAACTCTAGCCTCCGGTTCCGTGCTCCTCCTCTCCTCCTGAGCAAAGTTATCACACACCAAAGGCTTTTGTTCTTCCATTTATTTTGCCCTGAGTGTGCTTTGGTAGCAATGAGCACCAAAGAGGGACAAACGTCATTTTTATGTTTTTGTTTTTTTGTTTCGGCCGTCATGTTCATCGCTTTGTGTCGAATAGCATTGAGTTCATCTGCCAAAATGGCTTTGGTTGTACTCACGCTTGCTTTGCTCACTGTGTGCATGGCGGTAAAGCGCAGATAGCCGACTGGAGCGAAGGCATCAGCCGAGTGGATCACCGTCTCGGATGCATCGCTGCAGTACATTAGGGAAAAGCAGTTAGAGGTTCAACTCAGGGTGAGGCATTAAGTCATAAAGTTAAAAAAATAATAATAAATAGCGTGGGATTTACTCCATTCCTCCACAATGCTTTTAGCACCCTAAGAGTGATGTAAGCAACTGCTGATCACTCATGGAACATTTATCATCATCCTCTTATCTGTGTTGGCTTCCAGAATCTCTACTTAGCTGCAGCAGTCGCCCTCAGACTCCACTTGGATAAAATGTGTCTCCTTACCATGGCAACTCCTGGTCAGTCATTAGTGGAGCAGATTTGTCATCATCGTGTCAGTATGGCATTAACTCCATAGTGTCTGCTTTGATGCAAGATTCCATTTCATTGCCGCCCTGAGTCTCATTTGAAAAATGCCTCCATACCATGGTGACCCTGTTTTTCAAGTACCTGGTCAGCTGGGCCTTAGCTCTGGATGCTGCAGAATTTACTCCACAGTCTCTCCTTTGCTGCAGTACTTAATATTCTTGCTGCCCTGAGTCTCCTTTTGGATAAATTGTGTCTCCTTCCAGAGACCTCCTGACATTTTAGTACCTAGCCAGCTACGGCTTAGGCCTGAACGTGCAGTATCACACTCCACAGTTTCCACTTTTCTGCAGCAGTGTTTTCTTGCTGCCCTCAGTCTCCTCCAAAATTTGTCAAATAGATATGGTACTGTAAAGTGGATTTTCTGAACGTTAATACTCACATGACGAGCCTCTTTTTGAAGAGGGGGCAATCTAGGGTCAAGGTTTCATATTCTCCTCCTTCTCCGCAAATATGGACGCCATACTTCTGGGAAAGCTACGCAAACCGAAAAATAAAAAATAAGCTCTTTGATAAATATCATTAAATTGAATTAAATATTTTCGTGTTTGGTTTTCATATATTCATCACTACTCCTACAATCTACTGCATGTATCACAGATATGGCAACAAAAAAAAATATATAGCTCATAAATAGAACAATGAATACAAAAAAAAAAAAAAAAACAACTCAATGATTATTTTGAACATAATATGCCTTATGTTTACCCTTAGAATTTCTTAAAAGAACATGATATGACCATTGAGAGCATCCAAAAGGGTTTGTGACCTGTTTCAGGTAGGGTGCCATTTCAGCCAGAGATTTTCCCAGGTGCTTGTCGGGATCCAGGCCTAACGCGCAGATGGCGAGACAGAATCACAGATTACTGATTGAAGATGGCAGACGTCAACGCGCAGCAAAATCTGCATGGAGCATCTGTTTGTTTGACTTTAAAAGTGGTGTATATACATCTCTAAGGGCAAGGCTAACAGTTTTCAAAAGCGTATGGCACACAAAATTTCATACTCATACGTGCACATTCCCACCTCATCTCGTTCACCCCCTTGAGAACATAAACTGTGGAAAGAGACTTTTGTTTATTTGTCTTTTTCCCTCCCAGTGCAGGGAACCGACTCAAGGCCATAGGGAGGGGGAAAGGAGGAATACCCAACATGCTTCACTCTCCTGAGCCTCATACCGTCAACATCCTATGGCAACCCAAACGAGGGGGGGGGGGGGCCTTGATTACTTTAACCAGCCATATATAAGAGCTCACCAATGAAACAAAGGAAGGCTTGACAGGATGCTTGCAAAGCTTACACCAAAACCGCTAGCTGCTGCTCACTGGCATGTCGCTCATCTCTATTAACGTGAAAATTCAAAATCTGAACACCCACGTTTTAATTCACACCCGGCTCAACTCTCAATGAACCCTTTCAGGGACAGCGGTTACTGCAGTGGAGAGCTTATCATATTATCAGGTTACAGGGTGCATGAAAGGGTTAAATACCACTTCATCTAGCATTTTTCTGATGCCGACACATCCCTACATGTTTGAGCCTCCAAAGCAATTTGTCTTCAAGTCTGCGGTGGCTGGAATATACTCCTGGGGGCTATCCATGCGGTTTTGAGAGGCATTAGCTACCAGCTAGCTCACAAGCTAATCCTCGGAGGGATGTTGCGCTCGTCCGCTGCGTCACCTCCTTTCTCGGTGGTGTGTCGGTCCCCAGAGATAGGCAATGATGTGATTAAAAATTCTTGTTTCAGCATATCTCGCCGTCGTGCCAAATGCAGTTAATTGTTCATATCTGAAAACAACGATTCTATACGTCACAAGAGCAAGATTACATCCCACCACGACTGAAAACCTTTCTTAATTGATTGACGTGATCTTTAACAAGTGGCTGACCCACCCTTAATGATCGCCAAGATGGCCGTGAAACCCTTCGCCCCGCTGCAGGGGGTGCGTGAGGCGGTGCTGTTCTCCGGCACATCGACGTGTCTAATTAAAGAGGCAAAGTTAATCGTAATGTGAGAATATCTTTTCCCTCGTGGCCTGACAAGCTCAAAGGTTAAAGTGGCAGGCGGCGCGAGCCCACCCGTAGGGAGCCATGGGTGGGAGATGTGAAGGTGGGATTTGGGGTTCATCTTAATCCCAGTTGCATTTCACGATGGTCCAACACACGGGGAGGGTTAGAAAGAATGGGGGCGCGATGGTAGAGTGAGCACACATCCTTATTCTCATCCCGGGGGACCCGTGCTCTTAATTAGAGTGAGAATTTCTAATCTCAACATCCTCTCATCTTAACCCCGCCGCAAAGGTAATAAGGAGGGACGCATTAAAATTCAATCCCTTTTAAATATCCTCTATAATTAGTCATGTCTTTTAACAAAATCTTCATAATTGGCTCCAAATTGCAGAGAGGATGCCACTTTCTTCTCTTTTTGTGATAGTTTCATTAACTTTTCGGCTCTTAAATGATTAATGATCCGCAAGGAGACATGTTTTACAGGCCGAGGGTTTAAGACCAAAAGTTCGCAAGAGCCAAAAATGTAAAAATAGCACGAACAACGTCAACACACTTCACCTCGCAGGCCCTTATTGATGCTCCCGACTTCCTTTGAAAGACGAGCCTTCAGCCAGCTCACGCTAATTTATTTTAAAAGCGCTGTCTCACAGTTTTACAAGTTGACCGTAACCAAATTGCCAAATGATCCCGTATCTGCCGCTGGAGACACTTTGGATGGGAACGGAATTTCTGGCAGATGGGCCTTTGATTTCATGGCATCTCTTAAATCTCAATTAATAATGGTGAACTTCAAAGCTAAAGAATCCAGTGTAGGTGGGATCAAAATCTAATGCTGATAGCTTGAAACTGCACGTGATGATACGACACATCACAATATCGGATTTTGCCCCAGCGCTAGGGCAGTGGCGGTAGTCATTGAAAAATGAGGATCTTTCTATGGTCTTGTTCTAAAAAAGGTAACCACATGAATAAACTGGAATTCCACTTTGTATTCCCCAGAAATCTTCGCCAAGATCTAAAAAAATGACATTTGGTTTGGAGAGTCATGCCATCGTGTTTCTCTTCGATGTCACCTGATGGTCTCGGTGGGTCACAGTCTGAGTTGGCCCCGCTGCAAGTGGACAGTCGGGGAAAAACTTTGTTTGTTTAAATAAAAAAATAAAAAAAACAACAACAATTGTCCGAATTAATGGTCTAGGCGCTCTGCGACCATCCGAGGTGACTGTTAAATGAAAACCAGACGGTGTGTAACTCTGCTAATGAACAAAACATCAAAATAGTGTGTCTCAATATTGTGATTTTATGGTTGGCGGATGTAATTGATAGCGATTAAAAAGATTTTTTTTTTTCAGGGAAAATCAGATGTTTAAGTGTAATCATGCGAACAGTCAGAATAACACAGCAATTAAACACAATGCAAGTGTTTTATTTTTAATATTAATTGTAAAATGTTATAATTTTCAAACAAAGTTGCCAACCAAAAAAAAAAATCTGTTGCAAGCAGCAATTCATCGCAGACAATGCCAGGCAGTGTAACCAATTATAACAAGTCTAACAGAATTTCTTTGTAGTTTCGTTGACCTTTGCCCATCGCTAAGAGCTTTAGTTCTGTGAAGTTGCATCGTTAACTCACACTGCTTGCGAGTTCCCTTTCGTGTGTGGAATTAAAAGCCTGGAGATGGCAGATAGCATCTTAGCCAAAGCGAGCCTCGCTGTGAGAGCGCTATCGCAGACATCCACAGGGTTTTTCCTCGCAATCTGGTGACAGCTCGGCTTTAATCCCCCGCCTTCACCGAGCAAATTACATTCGGAACGTGTGGCACTTTAGCCTACTAAATGGATGGAATGAGCGTCTCCCCTCCCTTGTCAGTGAGCACTTTTCAAACAACACTCAAAAACAATAGCCGTTCGCTATCTTCTCACATTTTTTTTTTTTTTTTGGTGAAGGGGGAACACCTAAAGAGGAGCCGAGACAAATGATGACAAGACTCAACTTATATGGAAAATCTGTCAGGCTCTTTATCGGGAATTCAGTGTCTGAAAGGAATTATGGAAAGCGGAAAATATGTCAATCGATTAACTAATTACATGAATATTTGATCATGACTTTCAGAATAGCCAATTACCTTTGTGCGTTTGAGATACTAAGCATGTATTTCGTTTTTGTTTTGTTTTTTTAAATGTCATTTTGAGGCACAGAGAAAGTGGATCCCCCTTTCACTGGTATTGCACGGACAGTGATGCTTAAGATGAATGGCTCGAGACAAACTTTAAAATGCTCTGCCATTTGTTGTCCACAGACTGTTTCGTTGAACATGCTCAGACGGAGGATGAATTGTTTTGTAAAATGTGCAGGTCTGGCTGAATGAATTGTGTTTCGTCTCAAAATAATGCAAATGGATTTATAGCATTTTGGAAAGGAGCTATTTATAGGTTTGTGCGTCAAGATTGTTTTCAATAAACAGAAGAGTAAAATAAAAACAATCGCTTCGAAGTGGGTTTCGGTGAGCACCGTTGTATCGGTTTTGTCCATGTCAGCCTAATTTGTTTTGTTTGAATCTGTTGTTGCCTTATTTACATTCCAGTTAAGTTAGTGACCAGCTTTTTTTCTCTTTTTGGGTCCACATCCGCAAATAGTAAAGACGACATTTTCTTTTACCGTATACTTTTCTCTTGTTACATGGTATTAAGTTGCCATCAACCCAGATTTCAAACTTGCGGAGAATTCACTTAGGGGATTATCCCGCATTTGGACAGCTGTCTTTTCACAAACGGGGATTTGTCATCAAGCTATATCCTCCCTTGAAGAAAAAAAAAAGATACTTTTCTTTATCCATTCACTTTTAATTTGCACCTATCTTCCCCAGCAGCAAACGATGGAATATTAATCTTTATTGACTTGGCAGGAAAGCGCAGGGACACATTTTGTCTTATTATTTTGACAGAAAATCATAAGCTGTTTTAGCTGTCATTTCACAGGGAGACTTAAACTTTGACCTCCAGATTTTCTTTTTTTTTTTTTTACCTCATAAGGTAAATCCCTTCAAACCGCTGTCCTTTTCTGTCTCGCACACACACACACACACACACACACACACCCACACACACACACACACACACACACACACCCACACACACACACACACACACACACACACAGAGGCCACCAGGTATGCTGTTGTGCTGTCACACAATCTCCCTTAAAAATGTGACTGCCCAGACCTGCTCCCACCAAAAGCTGCAATTAGAATGGGACTGCCTAAAGGCCCCCCCCATTCAAAAGTCTCCTGTCTAATTACTTGTGCCGCAGGACAAGAGAGGAGTCAGGAGAGATCCGATAAGATCTCTTCACTTTTTTTTTTTTTTTTTTTTACCTGTAGCCAAAACACACGCACGCACCCACACGCAAAACGGCAATATAGTGGGAGGCCTCGCCGCACGCTCAAAAAAAGACACCCGAGGTGATGTTTCTTTCTAATTATAATCTGCGCAAAAATGTGGAGGATTTGCTTTCGGATTAAGTTTTGTTTATGGTTGAGGGCAGCAGAGTTACACGGTGACTGGCTGAAGGTGTGGCTTTTTTTTTTCTTTTTTAAATGTGACCCATGAACATTTTTCTCATTGTGCATTCGCTAGACTTACAAAAACTCTGTATGGGGAACTCAGGAAATTTGTTTCTAAATGTATTATACATGGCATGTCGTTTCATGTTGATCATTTTTTCATGAAACATGGATTGTTGAAGTGGTAAAGTCACAGATTTGTTCGCATTACTGTTGTAATCTGACTTGTGACAGATGCATGGTTACGCCACACTTGTTTGGTCAACTTTTCTGAGGTTGCCATAGTAAACGCTGACAAGACGGCAAGTCAAAGTGTTAAGTACGTGAATAAAATTGTTTTTTTTTATATGAATTCATGGTTCAGTCGCCTTTATCTTCGCTTAAACGTAGAATATCCTACCAAAGCATTTGTTTCCTAAAGCTAATTGTTTATTGAAACACACGTGAACGTATTGCTTGTGTTTGTTAAAAATAAATAAATCCCATGTATTTACTGATTTTTAACAAAACATTTTTTAAAAAAATGGGAAGAGGGCCTGAAAAAAATAGGTCAATATGAAATTGGCGGGGAAAACAAAACAAAAAATCACAAGTTGTTTTTCGAAATCGTCCAGCGCTATGAACAACTGATGAGTCCCGATCAGCATCAAGTGTGATGAGATTTTCATATCTCACCATATAAAACTCAGGAGTCTCTGCCAGCACTGCCACTTTGACAAAAGTGAACATTTGAACACCCAAGAAAAGTCGAACTTTTTTTTTTTTTCTCCTTAACATCCTCCTGTTAGTCAGTCGTCGTCTCGCCCTCAGGCTCCAAAACAGGCAAGTAGCGCACCGATTACAGCGCATTTACCTCAACGCGGAAGCAGTTGAGAGACGCAAATGAGCGCTCGCCCATTTTTATCGCGCGAGTGTGGAAATGGGGTGTTGCTGCGGCGCGACGAGGGACACGTGCCGTTTATCGACGGGCTAAACGTGAAACGGGAGGAGGTGGGCGATCACCTGCGATTACTTCTCGGCTGCCAGCCAGCCCGACGCACTCGTGTAGGCGCTTTCCTCCCTCTGCGCTCCTTATCTCCTCATATTGTTCTCTGCTTCAATACCTTTGCCTCTGGCGTACCAGCGCTAAGCCGCAGATTCGCGATGAGGCCATTATTCTGCCTTTCTCGCTTTTCTTCTCCCCTCGTCCTATCAGTCACTTATCGAAATTCTTCGATTCCCGTGACTGCTTCACAAAGCCTCAAGAGAGAGTAAAACGACTGACCGTAAGGGAAAGGATTGCGATGCGCAGGGGCTGAAAGGAGGTGGGGTGGGGAGAGAAAGGGGAGGCCATCTCACCGAAGGCGGCGACTTTGATGAGTATCGCGTGGACGTCAGATGATATCATTTCTGAGAGTAGCAACTCCTGGTCTCGCCGCCACAGGTAGGCCAGAGGCTGCAAACCAAGACGCAAGCACCTGGTGGGGGGATGAAAGGGGGGGGAGAGGAGGGTGATTACAGGGGTGCCAAAAGTTTC